AACGAAGGTACCCATGGAAGCCAGGGTCCTATATCTCTATATCTCTTTGAAGTTGGCATTCCAAATGATTTTGAGTTGCTGGGAACCAAACTCATTTCCTTTAGAAGAACAGTATACTGCTCTTAACTGCGGAGCCATTTCTTCAGTCCTTCATCTAGAATTTTAAATATGTTGACATTAAGCTGATCACAGTATTCCTTTTTATCTATTAATGTGGCATTAGTGACTTTTCTTTTGTCCTTATCAATACAACTGGTTTTACTAATGTTACTGATTTTATCCCAAAGAACCAGATATACATTTCTTTTTCTCCATTGTTATAGTGCTATCCTTTGATTTCTTTTTGTTCTTATCTATGTTGTTTACTTTCTTCTTCCTTTTGAGTTAGCTTTTCCTATTTTCTGATTTTGAACAACCATATTTATTTAACAAGCTTTTAAAGCTAAATATATCCGTCTCTACTCATTCCTTTCTATCCAATCATTCCCGTCATAATATATCCTCCACAAAGTTTCAGCCCTTTTCATGACAGCCTCCATGGCTCCCACATCCTCCTCAGGCTATTCTACCTCTCTTACAGTACTGTACCTAAGAGGCTGGCGTGTCCTCCCATTCTCTAGAACCCACTCCATTTAAGTGATCGGGCTTATCTCCACAGTGGCATTGCTTTTATAAAGGTCACCAGCAAGTTTCATCTCTCTGCACATTACCATTCACTCCTGCTCTTCTTCCCACCAGTCAGCAGCACTGACAGCTTTTGCTCTTGCTCCCAATAACACCCTCCAATGCCCCCCTCCCTCCCTCCCTCCCTTTCTCCCTTCCTCACTCTCCTCCCTCACTTTACAATTCCCACTTGGGTTCCAGCTCCAGGGTTCTGAGTCAGGACCTGTTATTTTGTGTGTGTGTGTGCGCGCGCGCGCGCATGTGTGTGTGTGTGTGTGTGTGTGTGTGTGTGTGTGTGTGTGTGTGTAGACACATGCACATGCATGCTGAGGTTGATGTCAAGAAACACTGGTGGGTCAGTTGTTCCTCACTTTATTTATTGAGACAGGATCTCTCAGTCAAACTCATGGCTACTCTTGCTATCTAACTTGCTCTGGGAATCTTGGAATTACAAGCAGGCCCCCACTACCCAGTTCTGCCCTTCATCCTTCCAAAATGGTATATATTCAAGATTTTTGTATTACTCATAATTTGTAGTATATGTTCTAATTTTCTTAGCATAATAGTTATAGATTTTTGAGGCAGGGTCCAGCTGTAGCTCAGGTTGACCTTGAGATGACAGAGCTCTTCCCAACTCACACTCCCAGGCATTGGGATTACAGGTATGAGCTTTCATGACTGGCTAAAACTTAGAAGCTTTAAACTACATTGTTAGTTACAAGTTCTCCAATGACAAAAATCTCTTAGTATTTTGTTTCTTCCATCCTCTAAAACTGTCTAAACAGTGTTGTGTGAATGGCACTCCTTGAAGAAAGCACTATAAACACCATTTCTGATTTTACACAAGTACATAAAAAGTACAACTTTACAAGACTTACATTTAAATAACAAGCATCACATACAAGTCACTGAGCCTCAAAGTCTTGGGACCCACAAATTAGAATGGTGCTCTACTAAAATGTGGACAGTAAGTCAGCTGAGTAGTCCTTCCATTCTAATTTTAATGAGATAAAAATCAAAATACTTATATTTTTCCACTGGAGGTTTTTCACACGTCAATACTGTTTACGTTGAAATCTCCATTCTAATGTAAAACCACACAGATGACATCTAACAAGGCTCACAGCTTTATTGAGAAAGAACCAATGAAACTGTAGCTGACTCTGGGCTGACAACTGAGGAATGTGCACCTCTTCACCTGTATTACAAGCTAGTAGCTCAGAGTCATCGGCTCTGTGGCTGGATTATCCAGGGACATGATCAGTATAACCCTGAAACAGCCTCATTTCAAACAGGGCCAACGGCCACCATATGGATTCCAGCGATAGGTTCTCACAGTTCCCTGAATCTCCTGTCTGAAAGTAAAGATCACACTCAGCCACTCAGCTGCCTCATATCACCAACAGGAGGCAAAATGAAAAGATAAAACTACACAAAGCTACCAAGTAGAAGCTAAATCATGTTCTTTTTCACCTGCCTCTGGTCTTCAGCTACTGCTACATGATGTTTTGTGAGTCCACTCTTTCACGATTACTTAGGAAATTTTTCAAAGAAAGGCTCCAAGATCTTTGAGGATTTTTTTCTCTACTTTGTTTAAGAGGTGTCAAGGAACATCTCTGCAATAAATTGTTTTTATTTATAGGATACCATGTTATTAGTTCTTAAGGAACTTGCTCAGACCTCAAGTATGAATAGCAGTAAAATACACAGATTCTCCATACCTGAGATGAACAAATATTTTATCAGGATATCTACATACAGGATTTGCAGTATTAAGCAACTACACATTTTCTTATGCAGTTTAAAGAGGAAAATACCATGCTCAGATAGGGACACATGCCAGCTCTATGGGCATCTTCTTTCTCTTTGTTCAGCACAGTGATGTTCACTGTTTGGTTTTTGTATCTTTTCTTTTGTAGCCCAGAGAAAATTTTGCATAGAGCTACAAACCCCACAGACTTCAACAGAATCACTTATACAACTCAGTGCTGAAGTAGCCTTTTAAGGGATAACTAGAGTGATTTCTCCAGTGATTTGCAATCTTCCCAGAAGCTTTACTACTCTTGAATCGCTACACTGAGACACTCAAGTATTTTCAGCATGGTTCATCAATTAATGATCATTAGTTCATTTTTTTTAAAAAAAGCACATGTTCATCTTGTCACCACAGAACTGTGATGCTTATCCTCCAAGCCTTGTCACTGCTGCCACTGTTTCTTTTAGAAGGTTCATGGATGTGCTGGGGTCATCACTTTCATGAAGAGGTAATTTCTACTTTACACTATAAGCTTCCAAAGACTTCTTATTGGGAACAGTTCCTAGATAGTACACTCACAATTCAATAGCATTTCATCTTAAAAAGGAAATCAGGTGACTTATTTAGAGACTAACAAAGGCCCTGGGTATTCTTTTTTATCATTTTTATTTTAATTTTAAATAGCTTGTTTTACATGTCAATCCCAGTTCCCTCTCCCTCCCCTCCTCCCGCACTCCCCTTCCCCCCCACCCTCCCACCCTATTGCCAAATCCTTCCACATAGGGGATATCTAGAGTCTGTCATTTTACTCTGGGTAGGGTCCAGGCACTCCCCTAAGAGTCCAGGCTGCGAGAGCATCCCTCTTTGTGCTATGGGCACACGATGACTATATTCCAGGGATAGACACTGATCCACAGCTCAGGGCCCCATAGGTTGCCCAGGCCTTCCCGCTGACACTCACATTTGGGGGGTCCAGATCAGTCCCATGCTGGCCTCCCCACTGTCGGTTTGGGGTCCAAGAGCTCTCCCCTGTTCAGATCAGCTGTCTCTGCTGGTTTTGCTAGCCCATTCTTTGCCAATTTGCTCATCACTCCTCTCTCTCTGTCACTGGGTTCCTTGGGTTCAGTTCAGTGATTAATTGTGTGTTTGCCTCTGCTTCCATCAGTCACAGGATGAAGGCTCCCGGATGGTTATAGACATCAAGTTCATTATCAGGAATGGGCATTCGAGGTGGTCTCTCCACTATTGCTTAGCTTGCCAATTGGTGTTATACCTTTAGATCACTCGAGGTCGCTCTGGTGCCTGATCTGTATTCGATCCTATGATTCCCTCTTCCCCTATTCTACCCCCACCCCCTCAACTTCCTGTTCCCCCATGACCAATTCTCTTCCTCTTCACCCCCTCTCTTCTTCCCAGGTCCCACTCCCCCCCACCCCTCGCCGTGTTCCCCATCCATTCAGGGGATCTTGTCTCAATCCTCTTCTCTTGGGTACTATGCATATATATGCATATCTTTTAGGTTCTTTCCTGTTTCCCAGACTCTCTATCAGTGGAAGTGCAGACTGGCACTATCCTGATCCATGTCTAAAATCCATATATGAGTGAGTACATACCATGTTTGTCTTTTTGCAACTGGGTTACCTCACTCAGCATGGTTTCTTCCAGTGCTATCCATTTCCCTGCGAATTTCAAGATTCCATTGTTTTTTTCTGCTGAGTAATACTCCATTGTGTAAATGTACCACATTTTCTCTATCCACTGTTCAGTTGAGGGGCATCTAGGTTGCTTCCAGGTTCTGGCTATTACAAATAATGCTGCTATGAACATAGTGGAGCAGATGCCCTTGTTGTATGAACTTGCCTCATTTGGATATATGCCTAGAGTGGAATTGCTGGGTCTAGTGGTATATTAATTCCCATTTTCCTGGGTATTCTTATGAAGGGATTTCTGTTTCACTGCAATCATAACCTAGACAAACCTGCTGAAGATGAAAAGTTACATGCCAGCTTGAAATATGGCACTTTAATGTCCATCCCCAATTTCACCTTGTATCATTTGGGTGATGGTGCAGTTTAGTGACACAGGAGCAAATGAAAGGTGCCAGCATCACACTACTTTGTGCTTTTAGCCGCTCTCACAAGGTCCAGAGAAGCTCTGCTGAGGATACATCATTCATATCCCTGCCCGCCTTCCCAGAGATACAAATGGTGAGCTTTTCCTCGGCCAGTCCAGTTTCAGACAGCACACACTGCAGCTTTTAACTGAGAAGGCTCATGGACTTGGCACAATTTTAGCCTCTTCCAAGGAAGTCAGCGTGTAATCACTCTTAAAGAGCCTGGATTTATACTAAAAAGAGTAATTTAATGCCTCAGGAAGGAAACCTTAAAATGGAAAAATAAACCTTGAAGAAAATGCATGTTATATACAAACCTTACCTTAGCTAAGTTATAATGTGAGTGTAGGTTACTACATTTAAAGGCACAGCGTATGGCGCTAGTGAAGGCCATGAAAGCCATTCACATAGAGAACAGCCGTTCAGCCTTGGTGACATTAGGAAATAAAAAGACAAGGCCTACCCAGGTTACTAATTCAGAAATTTACTTGCTCAGCAGAAGTTGGCTTAGGAGACAGTTAAATACCAAACCTCATTCTCTTTGGTTGTTCTCAGAACTTCCCATTGGACCTCAGTGATTCTCAGCTGCACATCCAGGATAATCAAGTCTGGAGGGGAAGCCCAGAAGCATCAACCTTTACTTCCCCAGGTGATTCAAATGTGCAGCCAGGCTGAAGGCTACACTGCAGCTCTTCCAGAGGCTGCTGCATGAGAGCACATGGACAGTTCCAGATTAGACAGTTCCGTTGCATCTAAGTTACAGGAGCAAAGGGGAAGGACACAGCTGTGCTTCCTCTAAAGTCACGGGTTGCATTCTGGAGGTGCTGACTGTCGGAGGTTATCTGGAGCGCTGGTTGTGAAGAAGAAAGTCCTTGTCTTGGCAGAGCAGGCAGAGTTTCAGGCTTCGGCAGCTACCTCCAGCAACAAAAAATGCCCAGATGCCCATGAACACCATGATTATAAATGCTGATACCAGATTTGCTCCATAATAAGGACTTAGGAAGGTCTGCAAGGGAAAAATAAGTCAGCTTTTGAAACCTGTGGAATAAACAGAGATAGAGGGAAACTCACAGCTTTCAATAGCTGGACTGCATCTTACAGACACGAGATGACTATCATGTGTTAAAGACTCAGGAAGGCACAGAAGACACTGGTCTGTGAACTTGCACTTTGCTCGACACAAATGGCAACCCCAGAAGAAAGATGTTAGCCAGAACCTAATGGGATACTTACCAGAAAGCACATGGAGCACTTGGCCCTGGTTTATAGCCATTTCTGGGTTAATTTAAATTGGCTCGAAGAATTTGCAACCAAGTCAGGGATATCTAGATTGCTTTAATATGAGCCATTAGTATTCAGAGGAACATGAGAAAGCAGAATTAGTTTTTGGTGGATTCCAAAATTTTAATCCTCATAAAACACTAACAGGAGCACACTCAGTGGTAGAGTGCATGTTCATTATGCATGAAGCTCTGGGTTCGATCCCAGCACCAAAGTATGACTGACAGAGTGACACAAGGTGCAGCGAGTGAAATTACTGAAGACAAGTTTCCACCATCACGGGACTTAAATACTACTAAGTAGCACAGACAATGAAGAAATAATGAAATAAATAGTTGATGAAGGATAGTAAGAGAGAATAGCTACAGATGTGGTTAATGCCAGGAAGAGAACAAGGTGATCTACTTATGGGTGATGGAGGTCTGATAATATGGCACTTAACCTGACACAGATAGCAAGAGGAATGAACTAGCTCTGTGCAGCCTGGCCATGGGAGGAGCACAGGTGAGGACAAAGAGCTGGACACTGATGAAAACTAGACCAGCCAGCATGAATACAGTTTAGGAATGGAGGAGCCGGTGAGGTCAGACAACAGCGAAGCCTGCAGATAAGCAATGTGAGTGTTATTCTCTGGGAAATGCAGGGTCGTAAAAAGACTTAAACTGAGATAATAATGATTGATTTTGATTTTTCAAACTGTATAAAATGGATTAAAGGAGATTGTGGTGAATCGAGGGGATGAGATAGAAGACTGCACTGGGTGAGGAGAACATAGGGTGGTGACTTAGGGAGGTAGTGGTGGAGCTGGACAGTGGACAGGGAGAGCTCACAGGGTTTGTTGACAGAGTGAATGGGAGGCAGATGCCAAGACTGACTCTTACATCTCTGGCCTGATGATAAATGTGCTGCCAAGGATACAAAGGCTTGAGGAGCATCAACCTTGAAAGAGGTTGGGAGGAAGAGGCAGGAACAAGCTTGCAAGCATGGGTACAAATAATATCCAAAAATATCATGTTTTTTAGTTACAGGCCATGAGATTTCAAAAGGCAGACGTCAAACAAGCACTTGAATGTCTGAGTATAATACTCAGAGGACAGACCAAGAAAAGGAAAGGCACTAACCCAGCCTCCACATGGAACTTAATGTCACACCATGGATGAGAGTTCCCAAAGAGCTACTTCAGACAATGGAAGAATAAGTGCCACCTTTCTAAATCTCTGAAAGACTGAGTCAGCAATGGCCAGGCAATGGTGATGCATGCCTTTAATCCCAGCCACTCAGGAGGAGAGCAGGCAGAACTCTGTGAGTTCAAGGCCAGCCTGGTCAATAGTGCAAGTTCCAGGACTGCCAAGGCTGCACAGAGAAACACTAGCTTGAAAAACAAAACAAAACAAAACAAAACAAAGAGACAGCAAAGGAGTCAAGAATGAAGTAAAAGAAAATCATGATAGTGTTTTTAGCAGACGTCAAGGAGGAATGTGATGGACCAGTCAACCCTTTTTAACGGCTGCTGAGCTGGAGAGATGACTCACTTGCTGCTCTTAGAGAAGCCTGGCACTTGATTCCCAGCACTCAATAAGGAAAACTCACAACTGACTATAACTCCAGCTCCAGGGCATCTGATACTCTCTTGTGACTTCAGTGGGTACCTATACACATTGTACACATTGACCCACACATGCACACATAAGTAAAAATAAATGTTTGATAAAATGTTAAGAGCTGCTATGATGTACAAAGAACAATTTCCATTTGACTGGTAAAATGAGGCTGAAAAGGATGGATTGAGCAGAAGGCAGACTAGGTTAGAAATCTGAGGCAGGAGAAGTAGACAGGGTCAATGAGATGGCTCAGTGGGTAAAGACACTTGCTGCCAAGCCAGACGATGTGAGTTGCAGGCTGGCACTGTAATAATGCCAGCAAAGAGTGAAGCCAGCACATCTGCTGCTGGAGCCTGGTTTAGTGATTTGTATCAAGGACTCAAAATATTCACACCAATTGACTTCACATGTGTGCCTAATGTGTGAACAGGCCTGAAGAAGACATCAGATCTCCTGGGACTGGAGTTATAGTTATGAGCTACCTTGCAGGTGCTGGAAATTGAACCCAGGTCTTCTAGAAGAACATCCAGTGCTTTTAACTACTAAGCCATATCTCTAGGTCCGACATAGCTCATTTTCAAAGAGCCTTCCTTTCAAATAGCATCTATTTCAGTCCAACAAAACATTCAAGCTACACTATATACTATTGAGTATATATGCTATAAGCTACATATACTATATACTCTATCTGTACTCCAAACCAGTAAGTTCTCAAATCTCCATATTCCTAACCCAGGGTCCTGTTACCAGTACAACTTCCTGGTACTCACCCACTGATGGATCAGAAGCAATGGGGAAGGAGCCCAGCAGAGCCAGTTTAAACAGTCTTCCTAGAGAATCAATGCACGATCAAGTTTAAGAATTCTACCAGGGCGGCATTCTTATAAATGTGCATAAGGAGATACAAGTATATTTACATCAGCACTGCTGTAATAACAAAGAATGCCCACTGTTACCACATGAATAAGTAAATTACAGTGTACTCACTCAGTGAACTACTGTATATGACCCACAACATGTATCATCTCAGGAACACAATGCTGAGTGAGAACACACTGTGAAAATGCATAATATTCTTATGAAGTAAGAGATCCACAAAATATTAAAAGGACATAACTGTTGTATCTAGAGGAGAGCAAGCTGCCATATTCTGTGGCAGTTTGAATTGTCATTGGTCTTAATAATAAAAACCCTGAGTCAGATATAGGGGTAAATGCTGAAAGATCAGAGAAGCAGAGCAACCACCCACTAGTTCTTACCGCTACTGAATCCTCACACCAAAGGGGCAATATTGTCCTCAGGAACCCTCAGACTGAAGGCAATGAGTTCCCATCTCTTCCTGCCTTGTATAGCTCTCTCTGCTCAGCCATATCACTCCTGTCTCTACCTTCCTACTGCTGGGAGTGAAGGGTGTCACTTCAAGTGCTGGGATCACCTTTGTGTGTGCTCTGTTTCTCTTTTATTTTAGACTGGATCGATTTTGTGTAGCCCAGAGTAGTGCTGGGATTGAAGGTGTGTGCCACCACTGTCTGGCCCCTATAGCTAACTAGTGAGGCTAACTTTGCACTCTGATCTTCAGGCTCCCCTTCATCTTGGCTTAATGTCAGAGAGTTCAAAACTATCCTACCCTTCCAAGGTTAAAGTCATAAGACCTAAAGGTCTAAGGTGTGGCTACTGTAGAATGTTTGATCTTGGTCTTGAGTGTCTTATCTAAATAACAATAGATTTGGTCTGAGGTATGGTTACTCTTGACCCTCAAGGCCAAATAATGAGAAATTTAGTCTAAGGTATGGTTAGAGAATTAAGGAAGAAGGTTTGTTTCTTCCTTGTATCTTATTAAAGAATTCTTTTGCCATGTTCTTTTTGGTTGGGGTATTTAAGAATGTTGGAGAATAAACTCAGGGTGTCCAGTAGTCACTGGATTGCCCTCCAGACTCTATCCTGTGTCTCTTTTTCTTAGTGTCTTGACTTGATACTTCTCATTCCACACTCCCTGTCTCAGGCATGAACCTGGTAAGTCAGCTGGATCCAACTGAAGCCCCACAAAGATGAGTTACAAGAGATAGTGTAAAATATCACCACATTGTCATACAAAGTAGAATTTAACTAAGGGAGCACTGCCTCCCCTATACCCCCAAAATGAGTAGTTTGCTAACCAGGCCTGTTAATGATAAACAAATTTTAGGATCCTAGGATATAAGTGTTTGTTCATCAGGATTGACCAGATTAGGTTCTATTACCATAACAACAGACACAACTCAAATCTAAAACCAACAATTATGCCTATCCTCGTATCAAAGAACATGCCTCTAACAGGCAGCTCAAGGGGCAGCATAGGGTCTCAACCACTGTAAAGTCCTGGTGTGCCATAAAGCCCGCAATTCCCTTCTTGAGACAGTAATCATCTCACAAGAACCTGCTTGTTCCCTCAAGCAATAGGATGTTTTTAGACTACCTTGCAGGATCAGAACTGAGACATTGACCAATCAGGACCACACACTGATGGCTTAACTGTTCACATCCTTTGCCTCTACACCTCATTTTTTCTCTTCAAACCTAAAATGCTTGTCAGTGTAATCAAGACAGACTTTGGGGTCACTGGATCCCCATGACTGATCTTCTCCTCATTGCACTACACTGATCTCTTTCTCAAACTCTCCACATTGTCAAGTCTTGACATGGTATACAGTGGATAGCTGACCAATCCTATTCTTTTGGAACTTTGAGAGATGGGACTTTTGTCTCAAAATTCCAATACTGGTCATAAGCTAAACTTTACTATGGCAAGTAGTTACTTTACATGAATGCCATTTGGCATTTATTAACAAATGAACTAATTCCAACTAGAAATTAAGATGTGTTAACAGCATCTGTAGAGTCTCCCATTTTTATTGATAAACCCTTCTCAGCTCCTGTTCCTGTACATAAAGTCCTGAGAGTCCTTCAGATATTCCAACACTAGAATTTTCTCTATTCTATTCTTTTCAAGGACAGAAAATCATGGGGCTATAGAGATGGCTCCATGGTTAAGAGCTCTTGTTATATTTTAAAATACTGGGTTTGGTTTTACTTGTTTGTTTGCTTGTTTGTTTTTGAGACAGGATTTCGCTGTGGTAACAGCTTTTGCTGTCCTGGCACTCACTCTGTAGATTAGGGTGGTCTCAATCTCACCGAGACCCACCCACCTCCGCCGCTAGTGTGCTACTCAGCCACTGCTACCACCACAGCCCGGATAGTTTTACTTAATTTTTGACTCTAATCTGGGGATTCTCCTCCCTCTCTTCTTTTTTTTTTTAATTTAGATCAGTCTGGCCTCGAACTCCACTTGCCTCTCCCTCCTGAGTGCAAAGATTGCAAGTGTACACCACCATGCCTGGTTTTTGTTCATTACTTCTGTCCTTCTTGAAAGATCTGGAAATTGAGACCTGTAGAGGAGAGGTCTCTTCTTTGTATTTGGAGCATCCTTTTCTTCAGTCCCTTCCTTTGCTGGTGCAGTTACTACTTATCTTTAAGTAAACTTCTCTAATTCAAAAAGCAGTGACTAGTTCTATTTTTAATAAATATTTATCAAATTTTATATAGTAAAAATGGAATCCACAAGGCTCTATGGATGGGATATGACCATAAACAAGATAGCCATAGTCCTTGCTTACATTATTTAGCACACAACTGGAGAGACAGAAATTAAACAATATTCACATCTTCACTTAATCACAGTTGGTGTACATAGGCAAAGAACTGCACTGTCCACATGTACTCTTATAGTTCTCTTCCTCTCTGTAATATTTATACAATGCTTTATGCAGTTAGGTGTTTGTTTTTTAGTTATCATGGGCAGAAGGTATGGTGACAACTTTAATAATTATTTAAAGACTGCATACGTACAGTCAAAAAGACTTGTCCCCAAATACTAAATCAGTGATATGACTTGAACTTGTAAGCTCAATCTCATACTTCCTTCTCTACCAAGCATTTCAAGGAAATGGCAACGAGTTTACCTTACTGCTTGTCTGCTCCACAACCACAGATAACAAAGAATACCTTACAAGCATACTTCATAAACTATGCCTGTCTGTAACATAAAAATTCATGTACATACAGGAATCATACAATATGTGTAGTATTGACACACACTGACAGAGATAGAGACACTCATTAACAATCTCAAATTCCTTATTTATTCCAATTACCATTTTAGATACAAGTCTACAAGGGACTCATTTTAAGCTGCCCTTGAAAACAGCCTGGTTTACTGAAGGGAATTTGCACCATCTAGAGGACAAAAGGTAGAAATACATGAAGCTGAAACGATGAAAGCTCTTTCAACAATGTAAACCAAGAAAACTTAAAATACAGACGGTGTCGTCATGTTTGTTTCGACTGGACACTGACAGACATTAGCCACTAAAACTATATTTTTACAAACCTAGAATTATTTTTTTTGAGACAGGGTTTCTCTGTGGCTTTGGAGGCTGTCCTGGAATTAGCTCTTGTAGACCAGGTTGACCTCAAACTCACAGAGAGATTCGCCTGCCTTTGCCTCCCGAGTGCTGGGATTAAAGGTGTGCACCACCACTGCCTGGCACAAACCTAGAATTATTAACATTTTAATTTTATGCCTGAAATATCCCAGTTTGGGAATATTCACAAAGGCAATCTGCTGTGTTGGAGGAAACATTAAGAAGAACGATCCATTAACTCACTTTTCCTTAACTCATTGTCAGAGTTAAAGGGTCTGAACTGGATGCTATAGGTCTCAGAAATCAAAGACTTTTCAAACAGGGAAGACTAGCTTGCTGGCTTCACAGAGGATGCATTCACTTGAGAAGCTGACTGCACTGACGTCCACAGGAGAGGCTAAGATGTGAACTAACGAGGAAACCCAGACTGGTGGAGGACTGTCTCTGAGTTCAGGGACTGCCATGGTGTCTCTAAACTACTACAGCTTATAAAAATGGGTCATTTATCTTTATAACCTTTTTATTCTATTAAAAGCTACTGAAACACTATTTAGTGTTAGGTCATTTTCCCATACAACATGGTAAACTCCCTAATGAGCTTTGGCCTGGATGTGAACATTGATTTAATTGAAAAAAATGAGTATGCGACTTCAATGACATAACTGCTGTTGATCTAGACAACTACAAACACATTTTCCTCTATTTTTAAACAAAGTGAAATTTAATAAAATAATATTCTAATTATGAAAAAAACTTGTGACCACTGTGTCATAACTTATAGTTGGTGAATGAAAAGCAATGTGAAAAAAGTTGGTTCTTTTTAACCGTATCTTTTCATAAAAATATTTATCTACTATATTTTTCTCTGAATTTAAAGATCAAATCATTCTGTCTATCTGTAAAAGACACAGAATTACACACTAATCAAAGATTAGAACTTAGGACTAGGGGTCTTGTGTTGAATCTCTAGCACTGGGCAAGAAAAATAAGTAGTGGCTTACAGGTTTATATTGAAGATAAATATAAAGACAAAACAAAGATCATAAAAATTAGCTGTTAATATTTCAACAATACTGTAACGTTTTAGTATAGTCAAGTGTGTGTGTGTGTGTGTGTGTGTGTGTGTGTGTCTTTGCTTGGGTTTTGATATTGTTGTTGGTTTTTGGGTTTTGGTTTTATTTTTGTTTTTGTTTTTGATATAGGGTTTTCTCTGTGTAGCTTTGGAGGCTGTCATGGAACTCACTTTGTAGACCAGGCTGGCCTCAAACTCATCAAGATCTGCCTGTCTCTGCCTCTTGAATGCTATGATTAAAGGTGTGTGCCACCACTGCTTGGTAAATGAATAAATTTTACACAAGATAAATTCCTAAAATATTCTAAAGTACTCCAATCAAACCCCTATCTTCACTCCCAGGTCCTTCACTTATAGAACCTAGGAACATCTTCCCTTTAAAAAGGAATACCTTCCCTTTAAAAGAATTCACTTGAATTCTGAAGACAATGGATTCTAATAAGGATGCTCCTTTAGAGCAGGACCCTGAACACCCACAGCTATGGCACATACATACCTGAATTAAGGAAGAACTGTGGAGAATCCCCATGGATGCCCACTGTGCCTGGCCCCAAGGAGTCAGACAGGGTGTTCACAAAGGAAAACACTCCACTCATGATTCCAAAGCCCAAGCCAGAAACTAAAGAGGAAGAAAAACACCGTTAAGCCCTTTTCCTGTTATGAGTTCAGTTCAAATCTAATTTGCAAGGACTGGGGGACACTATTTCACTGCAGGGAAAAGGCTACATCTGCTGTTGCTGAAGCATCAGACAGTCAGCTCTGGAAGGCTGAGTGAGAAAGGAGAGGAGGAAAGGAAGTACAGGAGGTAGATCAATGAACAAAGGAGAGGCACAGAAGAAACCGGAGAGGAAGAGGGTAATGTGCTGAAGGCCCTGGCTTTGGTTTATTGTAGCCAAACTGTAAGGGAGTAACTGTGATTTCAAGGTGGGAATCCAGGCCAGACTGAGCTAATTCTACATAGAGACCTAGAGCCTGTGTGTGCGCGCTTGCTTGCTTGAGTTTATGTGTACCATGAGTAGGCTATGCAGGTGTTGGATTCCACAGAACTAGAGTTGCAGGTGGTTGTGAGCTATCATCTGGGTTCTGCAAGAGCACTAGGTGCTCTTAACTACTGAGCCACACCTCTCTAGCACTTGTATTGATTTTCCTTATGACACCTCAGGGTCTGACTTACCATAGGCCAACAGTCTCATTGAGGGTGCTGTCTCCTCAGGGTTTATGCTCTTCAAACCCTCGCTGTCTCTTCTAAAAGAAAACACATTTTTCATTTTTAAATAAAAAAGCTGTATATTAGGCAGGTCACAGAACCCTTCAAAACCAGATACTTAATGAGGCTTCTGATCAAGTTACACTCCAGATTTTAATCCAGAATCCATTTAAGTGAAACCTAGCACTCTTTTTTGTTATTTTGCTTTGTTTGTGAAAGGCTCCCTCTACACAGCCTGAATGTCCTGGAACTCACTATGTAGACCAGACTGGCTTAGAACTCAGAGGCACCTCCTCTTCATCCTCTTGAAGGCTGGGATTAAAGGCCTATTCCAGCACAGCCAGCTCTGGCACATTTTCCTTTTCTCTTTAAGATTCATTTATTATTATGTGCATTGGTGTTTTGCCTGCATATATATCTGTGTGGGAGTGTTGGATTCTCTTGAACTGGAGTTAGTATGAGCTGCCCTGTGGGTGCTGGGAATTGAACCCGTGTCCACTGGAAGAGCAACCAGTGCTCTTAGCTGCTGAACCATCTCCCAACCCATTTTCAATAACTGAAGTTAAGTGAGATTTCCAACAACTCCACCCAGCTGGTGTTTCCATGAAAGAAAAAACTTAAAATATCAGTAACAAGTCAATAAGGATTGAGTTCAATAGGAATAAAAGTAATGCTCTAATTTCTGAGCTCAGTGAATATTTATTTATCCTGAGGGATCTATCTCTCTGAATTTTCTTTTCTCCAAAGTCTTAGGCCTTTATCTTTTTTTAAAATTGAAATTGGAAACAGACTTGTTTTGCATGTCAATCCTAGTTCCCTCTCCCTGCCCTCCTCCCCTGCCCCCCAAAGACCCCCTATCCCATTCCCTTTTTGCTCCCCAGGGAGGGTGAGGCCTTCCATGGGGGATCTTCAAAGTCTGTTACATAATTTGGAGTAGGGCCTAGGCCCTCCCCTATGTGTCTGGGCTGAGAGAATATCCCTCTGTGTTGAATGGGGTCCCAAAGTCCATTCGTATACAAGGGATAAATATTGATCCACTATCAGAGACCCCATAGATTAACCAGACCTCCAAACTGACATCCTCGTTCAGGGGGTCTGGAACAGTCCTACGCTGGTTTCCCAGCAACCAGTCTGGGATCCATGAACTCCCCCTTGTTCACATCAGCTCTTTCTGTGAGTTTTTCCAGCCTGGTCTTGACCTCTTTGTCATTCCTCCCTCTCTGAAACTGGATTCCAGGAGTTAGACTCAGAGTTTAGCTGTGGGTGTCTGCTTCTGCTTCCATCAGCTACTGCATGAAGGCTCTACTTGGCATATAAGGTAAGGTCATCAATCTCATTAAGCCTTTATCTTTAACTTATTGACATTCTGTTGTAATTTCCACTATGGCTATACGTATTACCCCTTCTCTCTTGCACAATGGGAAACGGAAATCATTCTCATCCTTCTAACAGCAATTTTTCCCTTGGGTTCAGGAACTGAACCCATGCCTCAACCATGCCAAGTACATGTTCTACTACTGGTTTTTTTCTTTTTGTTTGTTTATTCATTTGATTGTTTTGAGATGGTCTGTGTAACTAGGTTGGCTTCAAAAATCACCAAGTAACTAAGATTACAGGTGTGTACCACAATGCATGGTTTATGAGGTGCAGGGGATTAGGGATTGGATCCAGGGCTACATCTTTAGCCTCCTTAATGCACCATTTTAGGAAATTAAAAAAAAAACAGAGACACTTCTAAAAAGAAAAGAAAACAATCAGGGCTGAGAGTATAGGTCAATGATAGAGCTTTTGCCTAGCTTGTCCCAAGACCTTTGGTGGGGGCTGGGGGGAGGGGGACACACTGAATGGGACATAGACAGGAAAAAACAAAAAAAAACTGTAGCAGTGGTTATCTTAGCTTTTTACTTTTCTGTAAATATAAAACTATTTCTAAAATCATAAAATGTTTATTATATCACTATTTTAAAAAAACTGAATTAGGTTGTAAAACTTGCAATCCAAATATAACTTCCATACATTTTAGGCACCATACAACAGTTTTAGACAACACAGGAGTTACTGAAGATGTTTTGTAGGCAATGACAGTTATGTTTTAGGCAAATAACTTGAAATTTTCAAAAGTTTGTGTGGAAAGGGCTAGAAAGATAGCTCAGCAGTTGAGAGCACTGGCTGCTCTTCCAGAGAACCTAGGCTCTATTCCAAGCACCCTTATGGTGACTCACAACTGTTTATATCTTCAGGTCCAGGGGATCTGTTGTCCTCTTCTGGCCTTCTTGGACAACAGGCATATACATGGTGCAGAGACATACATACAGGCCAAACATTAATACATACAAGATAAAAATCAATGTTAAGAAAATAAAAAAATTGTGCAGAAATGGCTACCATTGTAGTCATATGCCAACTTCTCATTGTACAAGGCTTTATCCTGTTAGACAGTCACAATCATCTCACTCATTCATTCATTAACAATGTAGTAATTGCTCTTGAGCCCTGACTCATGAAATAAACTTATTTGACTGCAATTATTTTAAAAAAAGGGGGGGGTATAAATGTTCCACATTTTAATCATGGCAGCAAATTCAGGCAGAAAAACTTTGGTTGAGTTGGTCCCTTAAAGTAAAGCCTAAACCTAGTTGTGGCAGTATAGATATTTAAGCAAAATCTGAGTACACCAAAACCTCTAGTATTGAATGAAGAATAGCATGAGAGATCAATTTAAATATATTCACTTACATACTAACCCCAAAAGGGAGCTTATGCCTCAGGCTTTGTTCTTAAATGCGTTTTTCCTTTTGTAGACTTGAAATTATAGAAAATGTTTTTTTAAAGCATTCTTTAGAAAATATTAAAATGATCTATTAAGACAGATCTTAGTTCCTTAAAAGAAACACAAACCAGTTCATTCTCTTTAATAACTTTCCATGTGACTGCCATAAAAACTTGAAATACATAAAGTACAAGTCTCGACTTTCATAAAGTCAAAAGGATATTTAGATTGCATACTATGCAGCTATGGTATATAGCTTGAAACACATGAGTCTACCTAAATACTACTTCACCTTCTTCAGATGGACCTACACAGTGGGCAATACTTTGTTAGTAGTCACTAAAGCCCAGCAAAGAATTAAATACAGTCAGATAAAGACAGATAGGCAATGAAAGGCTCAAGTTATAAAGGTAAAATTGAAGACCTCTTTCATTGGGTACTTAGCTATCATGATATTACTGTAGACAAGTTATAATGTATGGTTTCCAAACAAAATATCAAAATTTCACATATTAAAAATCGTGTCAAGATCCATAGTTGGCTTCGTCAACTCTAGCAAACTTCCTTGGGTCCTTCCTAAACAGGAAGACAATATCTTCAACTTGCACTCGACCCTGTCTTCCAATTGACATTGCCTTGTGAGTCATTTCAGTAATGAACTCTATGAAGGTCTTCAAGAATATCCACTGACTCAATGTAAGGATTCTGGTCATCCCCAAACCCATACATCATACTTCGTAATTCTTTGGAGAAAAGTCTCTTTCTTTTCCCCTGTCCACCTTCTGCTCCTCCTCCAATTTCTTCATTTTCCTCCTCAAAGGTGGGGTCTTCCTCCTCATCTGCTATCCTAGCTGTCTGCCAGCCTTCTGAGCTGGCATTGACCAATTCTTGAAAAACATTTTTGGGAGGAAGGAAATGAAAGAGGGAAAGAAAAAGGAAGGGAATGAGGGAAGGTAGGTAAGCCAGGTCATAAGTTTAAATACTCCATATTTTCAGGCTAGAAATGCAACAATCACCAAATCATAACTCAAGTCTAACTGGGAAAATAAAGTTCAAACATTTAACTTACTTTAACAGTCTATAATATGCAAGCCTGAACAGTTCTTGGATACAGACAGAGAGCAACACTCCGAAGATGAGTAGGTACTTCTGTATAGGTCCATCTCTGTTGTCAGTAATGACTCTCACTAGGTACCAGAAAACAGATGAAAGCAGAAGAGATACCAGCCAGAAGAAGGCACTGGAATGTAGAAGGAAAAAGCCACAAGTTAACAGAAGCACGAGACTAATAATGACTTCAAATATGATGGAGAAGAAACCAAGATCTTGATTTTTTAATTGGGGAAAAAATTCTTTGAAGTGGTTGGCGTTCTGGATCAGCAGTTACTGATTAATGGTCCATTTTTTTCCTAGCGAGAAAATAGTCCAGGAGAAATGTCACATTTGCTCAACAAGAACGTGCTCAGTGACCACCACGTGCACATTAAGACACTACCTGCCAAGGACTGGCTAAGAGGAACTTGGTCGTTGACTATTTTTCCTCAGAAAGGCTTTGCCTCTTTGGTGTACCCTGGAAATATACAACCAGTGACTATTGCAATTTTCACATCCTCAAAATTCGTCAGAAAGTATGTATTTAATGGCTAGATATCTGTAAAGATAAGTGTCTTTTTTCTTTGACAGAAAAACGCATATCTAACCCTATATTAGTAGTGTGCACTGTGTAAAATTCTGAAGCTGAAACCTTCTGGCAGGTGCAGAGACCAGGACCACATGCACCAGCAGAGTTCGGTATTTACCAAGCTCTCAGGAGGACATGCCTGCTCAGGTGTTGCTGCGTTTTCTCAGGCTTCCACCCTCGGCTGCACCCCAACCATTACCCCGAGGGTCTACAAGAAAAATCTGAGCCCAAACCCCTCACAGGCATTCTGAGTCCCAGGATGGGGGTTGAGTGGGCCACTGATCCCCAGGTGACTTTAATGACAGACGAGAACGACTCTTCGATGCCACAGAGCACCTGGGGAGATGGGGTCTCCTACGGGAAGACGAAGGCTCCACACAGGAATGTATCTCAGTGTTGCCACACTTAGCCCACAGAAGCCTAGATCCGCAGGGGCGCCTGCTCAGCCTGCCCTTCTCCTCAGACCCTCTCAGGGGGGCAGGCTCCTCCCCTCCTTTCAGCCCTCGCTGTCCCACAGGCTGGAGATACTGGGGGTGGTGATCCCCGAGGTCATGGGAGCCCCGGCGCGGGAGGAGACCCGCTGTGTCAAGGACTTGGGGCAGTTTCACCCGACGATGAGGAAGATGACGCGCAAAGGATCGGTGGCGATGGTGAAAATGTAGAGAGCGAGCGCGGGCCCGAAGGCGATGAAGGCGCAACCGAAGAACACTGCCGCGGTCATGGCGACCGCAGAAGCCAGTCCAGGGAGCCTGGGGGACCCGTGGTATCCAGCGAGCAGTGGGTGCAGGATGAGGAGCGAGGCCAGGTCGCAAGGCTCCGGGTGCTCTGTCCCAGCAGGGGGCTGGGCGGAGCTCTTGAGGCTCGCCTCGTGGTGCTCCAAAGCCTAAGGGAGCCGAGGGAGGGGCGGAGCTCGGAAGGCGGGGCCTGGAGGTGCTCAGGTCAGAGAGTGGATTAGACGAAGCTCGTGAGGCGGGTTCTTGCTGTGTTCCACGGCCTGTCAGTGTGGATGGCAGAGCGGGGCTTGGCGTGCGGGGCCTCTAAGCACTCCAGTCACGGCGGACAAGGCAGGGCTCCAGATGCTCCATGGCCCATAAGGGCGGGTCGCTGGCTGGACTCACAGAGCTCCAAGCTCAAAGGAGCAGGGGCGCAACTTCGGATGCACAGTCAGAAGGGCATCAGAAGGCGGAGCCTGGTAGTGTTCCACGCCCACTTAAACCTTGCGTGGGGCGGAGCCTGGGAGGCGGGGCCTCGAGACGCTCCTTGGCCGGTCAGAATGGGCGGAGCCCAGCTCAGAATTCAGGGGTGCTCCTGTCAGAGAGAGCGGGAGATCGGGAGGTGAGGCTCTGGAGTGGAGCGAGGCTATGGAGTGAGGGGGGCCCTGAGGTGCTAGTGGCTGAGGTAGACTTTGTTAGTCTTATCTCCTCAGGCATCCCTATCCTGTAGTGAGACTAACATAATTTATTCAGGGTACTACTCGAGTCTGGAACATTCTTGCCACACAAGTGTTGTTAACAGTCTTATTGAGTTTATGTATTATAAATTTAACCCACTTTATTCAACTATTCAGTTATCTACATATAGTTTTATTTTTAAGGTATGTATTAAATCTCTGTGTGTGTGTGTGATTTTAAAGGGTTTTCTTGTGATAAGATGTACTTTCTATGAGCACTGCTGTTAGCAGTCTTTTTATTTGGGTGTAATGTGTACTATCTCTTTCAGACTTTCGAGCTGCAGTTTCAGGGATTAACAGCAGCAGAAAAGCCTGTTCCAAGTCAGTCCCAACTTGTTTTCTTTCCATCTTTTTCTCAGTATTCAGTCCCTGTGTGGTAAAGATGGGCTGGAAATGGAAGGGGAGGAGTCTGGGCAAGAAGACCTTGTAACCTAGAGACAGCCATGTGGAGGAGACCCAACATGTAATTTTTGAGAAGCTGATTTTTAGTTTTCATAGTGGGAAGGCCCAAAGACATATTAAGGTATAGTAGGCTATGCAACATTTTATATGGCAAGAGGCCCATATCCTCTCTCATAGCTATTTTAACTTAAAGTTACAATGAGATTTTTATTATCATGTAACCAGCTGTAGCAGTGTGTGGGGGGGGAGATGCTCTATCATCCATCTGATGACATGAACATTATCATTAATATATGTTTTAATTTTTATATTCTCTGATATATGTCTAGGGTCTACATTGGTTACAGTCTAATCTCTGAAGACTTCATAGACAGACAACTTCTCAGAGGGGCCTTTCATTGTTCCCTGGGCCCTGGCTGACCTTATGTTTTTTTTTTTAACACTCTTATTCTTTTCAGTATAGGCATGCAAGCTTTGTTGAACACCCAGAAGGGCAGCTTTGACATTTCTATAACTTTAATTCTGTTATTTTAATTATACTTAGATAAAGCTTAGACAAAACAACCCAGACAGTTTTAACTAAATCTTGACTTCTCTATGACTCAGTTACCCAAAACTGTTAGTTTATCAAGCTTAACAAAGACATAAGTGACTATCTTGATTGAAGGTACATTTTAAAATCGTTTTTGTTACCATGTGTGGTGTTTGAATAAGAGTGGCTCCAATAGGCTCATATATTTGAATGCTTAGTCATCAAGGTGTGACATTCCTTGAGAAGGATTAAGAGGTGTGGCCTTGGAGTAAATATGGCCTTGTTGGGAAAAGTATGTCACTAGGGGTGGGCTTTGAGATTTCAAACACCAAAGCCAGGCCCAGTGACCCCGCTACCTACAGATCCTGATGTAGAACTCCCAGCTATTTCTCCAGCACCATATCTACCTGCATGCCACCATGCTCCCTGCCGTTATGAGATTGGACTAAACTTCTGAAACTGTAAGCAAGCTCTGGCTAAATGCTTTCTTTCATAAGAATTGCCATGGCCAGATGTTTCTTCACAACAATAGAACCCTGAGACACCATGAATAGATCATTATAACCTTAGGAATTTCTACGTCAATCATGTCAATCATGAAACATATGCCACCCTTCTATGCCATCCTCCAATAGCCTGTATAACTTACTCAGACCTTTTGTGACTTGACTTTAAGCTTTCCTGCCAGGGGGAAAGTTTACTTTTCAGGAAGAGCTTCATAGATAAGGATGGCCTTATAAACGAAGGCAAGAGTGGGGGTATGTACTCAGGGAGATAAAAGTTAAAAATACATGTTAACCTTGGAATTGTAGCTTTCATACTGTTGTTCTCATTTTCTGACTGGAGTCTTTTTCTGTCTTATTTTCTTAGAGGTTTTCCTATATGATGACTTGCACATTGATTTCCTGGATCCTTGCCTACTCCTGTTAAGACAGATTTATTATAGTTAAGAATATCTTCGCTTGTAACTGCTGAATTCTCTCTCAGCCACTCTTTTGTAGTTTTTAAACTCTGTCCTGCACCCCCATGGAGGGCCTCACCCTCCCTGGGGGAATGAGGGGATAACGGGGGGGGGGGGAGGGACGGGGGCTGGGGGAGGGCCCGGGAGGAAGGGAGGGAAAGGGAGAGGGACCTGGAACTGACTTGTGAAGCAACCTTGTTTCTTATCTAAATTTAAACTGGAAAATAAAATAAAAATAAATAAAATAATCTTACTATACAAAAAAAAAAAGAACTCATTAATCCTCAGAATTTGTTATCCCATGGGGGTGATGTGAGATGTGCAGGGGTGGAGGTTTTTCTTTTCCATTGGAAATAAAATAAAACCAGTATGATAATGAGCCAGGAAAAAAAAAACAAAAAAACAAAACTCTGTCCTGCCCCCTGTTAGTTATCTGCATCCCTTGTTTCAAGGTTCTTTTATATCATATCTCAAGTACACCATAGTGGGGCCACAAATTGGACCTTTAAATGTGAGGGAATCAGGCCGTGGAGACATTCATACCCTCACACAATTTATCACCTCGTCTTCTCTGCTCCTTAACTGATGACCCTCTACAAGGGGGTGATTAAGTATCTTCTTCTGACTAGAGGGATAGACCTGACTGGGTTCCAAGTCTAGCTGTAGGGCCATGCTTTGTCCTGTGGCCTTTCTAGTGAGTTAGTCCAGCCCACACAAAAAGGTAGCAGTAATTTCAGCTAATACTTGTGAAACAGTTCCTGTGTGTGTGGCATTTTGTCAAAGGGTTACTTTACTGATTCAGTAAGTCTTTAAAGCAACACTGTAAGATCTCTCCATCTCTACAGGAAGAAATAAAAGAACATTTCACGGGGCTGGAGAGATGGCTCAGAGGTTAAGAGCACTGACTGCTCTTCCAGAGGTCCTGAGTTCAATTCCCAGCAACCACATGGTGGCTCACAACCATCTACAATTCAATCTGGTGCCCTCTTCTGGCGTGTAGACAGAACACTGTATATGTAATAAATAAATAAATCTTTAAAAAAAAAAAAGAACATTTCACACTTGAACACCCTATGGAAGAAAGCTAGTGGAAGGAGGGGAAGAAAGAATAAAATAAATACAAAAAAGAGACTGGGATTACAATAGAGAAATCAACAAATCAAAAGTTGGTACTTTAAAAATAAATATTGGCATTATATCTCAATTAACTTTGTAAAATACAGATTATATTGATAACATTTGAAACAAGATTTGAGATTATCATTTTTCAGAATAATAAGAACTCCAAAAGCATTAAACATATTTTATGATATATTTTGTGTGTGTGTGTGTGTGTGTGTGTGTATTACCTCAAGGCAATGAAATAGGTGTCTTCAATGACATCAACAACTTATCTGTTTAAAACTCTAAAATTTTTACACCAGGTTGTTAGAACTAATGAGTCAGGTGAGGATCTTCATCTACTGCAGTCTCTGCACTAAGTGTGTCCTTCACTGGACTCCAGTTCCAATGTGGAGATGTAGAGTAGGCAGGCACAGGTCAATGTGTGTAAAGTAGGATCTACACAACCCAGTACCCAGAAGTTACAAGGAATCACTTACTGTGTTCATGGAGATATGCATTTGTTTGTTCACTTTGATTACATGTATCAAAGGATTTTATACTGTAGTATCCTGTATTCTTCTGGGTGACATTAAAGAGCAGCGAGGATCCGTTAGTGAACATTGTCTCTCTTTCACTCGATTGCTGCCCCCTCATTTACATGAATCGGTGGCTATTTTATAATGTATAATTTTATCATCTCCTTTGCAATCAAACCCTTTGTATCAGGAAAAAGCTTGACAATGCTTGAATTTATGGTGAACATGTAAAAGAATGTTGCCCCCTTCAACAACACTGTCTGGCACTTCAATAGTAGTTTGGCCATGGTTGGAGTGTTCCAGCAGGTTAAAAGTGAGACTAGAAGGAAAGAGAGAGAGAAAAAAATCCATCAATGTTGGGACTATTGTATGCAGAGTAGGTGTGTTCACCACTCAGTCTAGGTGTATGGGTGTGGGGGTGTGGGGTGCCGACCTACTTGTTGGAGATAAGAAACATGACCTCCATTCCCTGAGTGTCACTAAAGTTGTTTCCTCTTCGTTGTTGTTTTATTTTATGTGTATCAGTGTTTTGTCTGTGCATCATGTGCACACCTGGTGCTTCGGGTAGCCAGAATAGGACAACAGAACTCAGAACTCTGGGACTGGAATTACAGACAGTTATGTCTTCATATGGGTGCTAGGAACCAACCTGGGTTATCTGGAAGAGCATCCAGTACTCTTAACCATTGAGCCATCTCTCCAGCCCCATGTTGTTTCCTCTTAAGGTATTCTCTCCCCAAGTGCCCACACTTCTCACTCTTCCCTAACCTCTGTTCACACTCAAGACTGTTTATGGTGATCCTCCCCTGACTTCTTTATCTGCAGACCCTGACTTTCCACTTTCCGGCTGTTGTCTCTGTTGTTACTCTATTCTCTATGTGCTTGCAGTCATCTGCTGACTTCACCTCCATGATGCCCTTACTGGCTCTGTCTTCTAGTCCACTAGAACTAGGAATTGTGATGTCAGAGACTACTCTGGCCCTTTTGGAAAGTTCAGTGCCCAGAAAAGGCTCAGATCCCTTTGTATGAAAGAATGAGAATCCAGATTCCTGGTGTGTCCTTGGAGTTTACTTGCAAAACTGAATTTTGATGCTAACAACAGTGTCTTTTAAAATATGGTTTTCATGTATGTGCCACAAAAATTTTTAGATTTACATTGACACTTACTTACAAGTCAATTTGATATCAAAGGATATAACCACACATAGACATAGCATATATACATAATCATACTAAAAATGGACTTTTAAAATCAAGGTCTTGAATGTTATTGTTTGTTGGGATTGTCTCTCCTGTAGTCTTCACTGTAAAAAGAAAATTTACAACAAAGGTCTTTAGCAAAGATATAAAAACTTACATTTAGCAGCTTCATATTAGGAATATTTAGATATGAGTTATGAAAGAGAATATACAGCTAATTATTTTTCTAGTTCTGTCACGACTTTTCTGAGTTTAATGGTAGATTGATGCATAAAAATATATTTAATAGTAAAAATGTAAACTACAGTATGAAGCGCCACAGCTTCCATCCTGAATAGCTTTTGTAACATATAGCAGTTCACTGAAATGTACAGATAAATGTCTGGTTAATTTTGGTGTGATTGTTTTTTAATCTGCAATGTTTTAAAAAGAATATTTCAAAAAGAAATATTCTGGTTGTTTTATAAATGAAATAAAATTTACTTGACCTGTGTATTTATTTAGAACCTTCTTTGGAAGGAAATCCTTATCAAAAACTCTGCATATAGCATAAATTTTGTAACTTGATAAAATCTTTATCTTATGACTCTAGTGAACATTATTTTATATAAACAAATAGCATTTAAGGTTTTATGAAACACTTAACAGCCCCAATGGCTGTGGGTCTCTGTATAAGAATCCATCAGTTACTGGATGAAAGCTCTCCGATGACAATTGGGGTAGTCACCAATCTGATCACAGGAAAGGGCATGTTCAGGCTATGTATCCACTATTGCTATACTGGATTGCCTTGCCCAGCCTTAATACAAGGGGATATGCTTAATGTTACTGCAGCTTGATATGCCATGCTTTGTTGATACACGTGGAAGGCCTGCCCCTTTCCAAACAAACATAGGGGAGTGGGAAGAGGGGGGAGAAACTGCAGTCAGGATGTAAGATAGATAGATAGATAGACTGACAGACAGACAGATAGATAGATAGATGAACAGATAGATAATGATGCTGGCGCCGATGGAAGAAAGCACACTCCTCTGTGACGAATGGTGGTGGGGAATCCAGGCTTCGCACATTTACCTACAAGGATAGAAAAAACTAGGCCAGGGTCTAAGGCACAAACCGCCTCAGAAGGAGCCCACCCAAGTGCGAACACCAAAGAGACCTAGGACACAAAGCTAATAAGGATGCTGCTGAGAACGGGCAAAGGTCCACAGCTACCGGAGGAAGGCAAGGTGCCGACTCCAGACAGCTTGGGAGGAAGAGGCAGGCGTGCCTCAGAAGTCCTCGGGAGGAGTTAAAGAGTGCTTGCAGCGGCTGGATGATTCTGCCTGGGGCCACAGCCTCAGCACCTTCTGGTCTACGGCGGCGGCCACGCCCTCCCGCCTCCCCATCCCCAGTCTGAGCCACTGGGGCTCTGACCACCCGCAGCCTCGCCCCGCCCTTCTCTCTGACTCTGCAGGAAGCATCTCGTGGCCCCGCCCCACTCATTAGCCCCTCGGTGTTGCTTCAATTTGTTTTGACCGAGTGTGGAGCATTTAGAAGCTTAGTTCTACTCACTATGCATTCCATGTAATCAAAGTAGGCATCTAAACTAAACACTGTGAAAATACACCAAAACTAAAACTTATCCATCCGAGTGCTTAAACAGCGGCTCAGAGTAAGCAAATGACCCAGTGTTTTCTTCCCCCCCCCCGCCCCCCGTCCTGTTCAAAATCTCCCCAAACTTCCAGTGTTTCCTACAGCGCAGAGCTCTGCCTCGCAGCGCGAAGAGCAGCTTCCCAAGGTCCCAGACCTTCTTCCCCATGTTCACCTTTGCTAACTCCCATTTAACTGTCCGAGCTCCTTCAGAGGGCCCCTTCTGTTCTCGGCTGTTCCACCTGTAGGAGATTCTGCGAGCACTCCCTGCCCTTAATGGGCCTCAGGGGCTTCTCAGGATGACCAGCTCCATTGGCTGCCCTGATGGCAACTGTAGGCGTGGTCAGTGCAGGGGTTACCTAGATTGCAGCCTGCTGCCAACTAACCTGTTATCAGGTGGGGTTTCCAGTCCCTTCTGCTACACCTTACCTAATTCTTGGTCCCACTTACCTTGCCTTGCCCTCATCTGAGACCAGGTATCTAGTTAGCGACAGACAGTCGGAGTTTCCATTTATCTCCAGGGTGAGGCACTGTTCCCTGATGTAGAGACTCCCTGGCAGAGAATGTCTCTCCCAGGTGTTTCTAGGTTGTATTGAGTTGACAAAGCTAAACACCACATAATGTGACATTTTTTGTTTTGTTTATCTACATATTGTTTTGTCAAGGCTTCAAACATGCTAGCAGCCCATGTAAAGAAATGGATGTGGTGACACACATATATAATCCCAGCACTCCTATGGTGAGAAGGGAGCGAAAGAGGCAAGAGACATGCCTACAAGTTTTCAGATCAGCTGTCCTGGAGTATACACTGCAATGGCAGAAACACGGGAGAGCCGGCCTCAGCAAAGTGCATGCTCAGAACTGACTCCAGGGAGATGTCTTCTGACCTCTAGATGTGTATACACACAGACACACACACACAGACACACACACACACACCATAACAAAACGTTTAATATCAGTAAAATATAATGATTACAAATATAAACTCATCTAGCAATGAAAAAAACCACACATTAGCAAACATGAAAATTGAAGAAAAAATAGACAATTCAAATGGAAATTTTAGCCTTATGTAAAATACTATAATCACTCTCAGTAAATGATTGAAACTCTGGGCATTAAGCCAGAAAGGCTCTAAAAACCCTTTACACTGTTACCCTGACAGGTGCTGACCACTGAATCTGTGTTTTCAAGTACACAACAAACCTTTTCCAGATTAGACAAAATACTAAGTCACAAGACAAGTCTTCACCTATTAGAATAGGTTTTATTTAAAGTATGCTTTTAACAGAAATGTAATTAAATAAGAAACCAGCACCATAGCACCTTCAGAAAAGTTTCAAGTATGTGGAAAGTCAGCACCATGTTTCTGAATAATTTCTGGGTAGTCAAGAAATTTTAAGCAAAGAATCGTTAAGACATTTCTAAATGAATTAAAAAGCAAACATTGGCTATCAAAGTGCACACTATTTGCAGAAAACTGTATTACTTTAAATACTTGTCATTTTTTACCATGACACAACATCTCAGTGTATTCATTCATCAGCTAGGTGAGTACCTGTTATGTTCTGGAAACAATGTATACCTTGCAGAGTCAACATACTTGTTGTTTTTTCTATATAGACAAAGCATGAGAGCCACAGATGGGGGGAAATGAATGATATTTTTGTAGTTGACTTTTTCAGACAGCTCTGTTTCACTTAATAGTATTATTCCCATTTGTATCTATTTTCTTGCAAATGGCATAACTTCCATTGTGCACACACACTACATTATCTTTATCCATTCCCTTGTAGATGAACACCTCGGTTGGTGATATAGCTCAATGTTATGAATGTGCTGCCATAAACACTGAGGTGCTAATAATTGCTGTGATGTGAGTCCTTTGGGCAAATACCCAGGATTAGTAGACAAATCACATGCTAAATCTGTAGTTTTTTGAAGTGGTTGGAATATTTTACATCCCCACCAATCATATATACAAGGTTTTCCTTTTGTCTACATCCTCATCAGAACTTGTTGAAAAAAATTTCCATAAAGATTGTCATTATGACTAGGGTGAGATGGAATCTCAAAGTACTTTTTATTTGCATTTCTATGATGGTGAGATGAACCTAGAGTAATGGGAAGGGTGTGTGTAGTTTTTAGTTAACTCAGCATAAGCCAGAGTGATCTTGGAAGAGAGAACTCTAACTGAGGGTTTGTCTCCATCAGTCTGGCCTACAGACAGGTCAGTGGGGCATTTTATTCATTAATGATTAGTGTAGGAGCACCTACTCCACTTGAGTTGTGCCACCCCTGAGCAGGAAGACTAGGTTGTATAAGAAAGCGTCTGAGATAACTACAGACAGCAAGTCAGTAGGCAACACTCCTCCATGGTTTCTGCTTCAGTTTCTGCCTCTAGGTTCCTGCCTGAGTTCCTGCTTTGGCTTCTCTGGATGATGGACTATAACTGATAGGCCAAATTAATCCTTTCTTTCCCATATTGGTTTATCTATCACACAATAGTAAACAAAAAAGACATGGGGTATACAGTAATTTTGTTTTGGTTTGCTTTGTTTTTTTGAGAGAGAATCTCACCCAGTCAAGGCTAGTCTTGCATTTGCTTTGTAGCTAAGGACAACTTTAAACTCCCAATTTTCCTGACTACACTTCCCAAGTGCTGGGATTCCAGACATGTGTTACCTCACCTAGCTCTAAGATGATGTTTTGACATGTGTTAAAAATGTGACATGATTAAATCAGGCAAACTAATAATCTAGCACCTCAAATATATATTTTTGTGGCAAAAAAAATTTAGAACCTATTCCTGGCAATGTTGGAATATATATATGTATATATGTATATATATATATCATGATTAATTACGCACCATTATGTTGAGTAGATCTCTAAAATTTACTCTTCTCCTCCAACCAATGTTTTGTATACTTTGATATCTCTCTCTTTTATCCTCTAGGTCTCTGGTAACCCTCATTCTACACGTGAATTCAATACTTTTAGACTGCATAGATAAATGATATCATGTATTCTCTTTCTGTGCCTGGCTTATTTCTTTAGTATGCCATCCTTCAAA